TTTTGGTGGAGGAGAAAAACAAAAAAAAAGTGTTCTCCAGTTGTGGTGTGGGTGGGGGGGGGGGGGGGGGGGGGGAAATGTCCACAATTATAGTTTATAAATACATCAATAAAAACTAATATTTATATATGTAATAACTTGGAATGCATTTTTATAAAAAATGTAAAAAATTATTTACTTTAATTTGATATATAGAGAAGCCTATTTCTATATGTTAGATACTCATTTCGTTTAAATATTTTAATGAAATCCTATCTTTATTGAATACATATTACATAAATAATAAGTTAGAGGTAATGCTGTAAATAAAGAATGTATCCATACTTGCTTGTTATGCCAATTATTTATGAAATAAATAAAATCTGAAACTTCATAATTCAAAATATAAATGATTATTTCAGTACTTTATTTGTGTTTATTACTGAGGGATAAATATGGCTATGGTTTTAGTCCAGATAAATGCAATTATATGTGTTTTATATATATATATATATATATATATATATATATATATATATATATATATTTTCCTATGGTTTGTACATCAAAATAAAATAATAAATATATTGGTACTACTTTAAAAAGTGAATCCAAGAAGGACATAAAATGCTGTCTAAAAGAAAACAGCACACATCAAAGGCAAATAGAGGAATTGATACACATTTATTGTGATAAACAATCAACATTTTGAAATGAATATCTCATATTATATGTTAAACTCCTCTGAGAGGACAAGTTCAACATTAAAGTAGATGAAAACACAGAGCCACAAACAGTAAGAGAAATGCAAGAAGGTTTACTCAAGCTACAAAACATCCAAGTTGTTCTAACATATAAATAAGTTAAAAAAGTAACAGATAATGTTGAAAAGAAAAGAAAATTATATTTTAATGGTTTGACTTAATGCCTGCATTAAGAAAAGGAAAGGATGGATTTGATGCTTCAGTTTTTTTTATTTTAGTTCACTTGGTGCAAGTGGTGGAGAAAAGATTGAGTTTTTAATTTTTCTTAAACCTAAAAGTAAATTTGTGTTTTTCTTTGGAGAGTTCTCAGTTTTCTTCCAGGTTTTATGACTTGATTTTAAAGCTTCAATTCAGAGAATTTGGAACACTTTTCTTATTCTATTTTTTTGTAGAATTTCTCATTGTCCAGGTATAATTCAAATAAATTTCCTTCAAATAGACCAAATCATCACAAGAAAAGGTTTCTTCTTAAGAACCTTTTCCCTCCTCATTATATTTCTGTTTTCACAACAATATAATTTATTCTCTAAACATGAGACATTAGAGAATTAGCAATCAACGTTCCAGTTTAATTAATGGACTCTGTATTTCTATACATTTAACTCACACAATGACATCAACATTCTCTCCTTTACTTCCTTTAAGCTAAAAACATCACAACCGACCATAAAACCACTCCTCACCATCCTGCAGGTTCACACAGAAAAAAAGATTTTAAAAACATTTTTGACTAATTACTTACTGAACCAGGTGAGAATAAATCACCTGATTGCCAGAAGAAATAACACAATCGAGCCAATGAGATTTACCATTTTAAAAGCTAGAGTAAAGTATTATTTTGTCAGATAAAGTCGTTTTTGTTGTGAACCCTGAGTTGATTTTATGGCTGCATTTGCAGAGAGAACCTGAAGAAACTTGGTTGAAAATCCGAACTCCAGCTTATCAT